TTCTTTTGTTCTCATGCATCCCTTCCCCCCTCCTCTGCCAGTATTTAGGGCTCAAGAAATGCTTATATTCATAATGCCACCTTCTTGCCCCTTGGAATAAAGGCTAAAACTCTTATCCCATTGAAGTTCCTGGCAACTAGGGAGAGACTGCCAAACACACCTTGTAGAAGAGGGAACCAGACAGGCTGACACGGAAATCTGGAAAGAGAATCTGCCAGACCTACAGGGGCAGGTAGGAGCCAGCAGTGGAATGCATTCCCAGCCACAGAGAAGTCCAGAAGGGTCTAGAAGCCTTTATGGATCTCTACTCACCAACTGCCAGCTCTTCTCCTGAAGCCACTGGGATCCCCTTCTGTAAATGGTTCCAAACACCCCTCCCAACTCTGACAGTCTAGAACCTGGACAGGTGTCGAGAAGAAGGTTCCATCCATTGAACCAGTGAAGATAGAAACTTGATCCTTAGTCCCCTCAGTCCCATTCAGGGAGAATGTGAAACCAACTCAGTGACTCACACCTGGCTTTGCTCGGAAGTTCCTCAGGCGCCACATTAAACTTTGCCAGAGTCTCACATTTATATTTGTTGCAGTGGATATTGGGCCAACTGAACTGGCCACGTCAGCAACCCCACTACATGACTGGTCCCATCATCATTGTTTCACAGAAATGGGATTCATTATGTTCTGGCCACAGCTCAAAAGCCTGTTCTATTTTAACAATAGTAAGAGTGCCAAACATCCATCTCCTCAAGAGAACACGATGGTGTGCTTGGCCAATGAGGCCCAGATTTATCTACATTAGAATCACAGAACATTAGGGCGTGGAGAGGCAGACCTTAGAGATCATTTTATCCAACCCCCTAATTATACAGATGAGGAACAGGAGGCCTATAGGAGGAACGTGACTTGCCCACGGACACACAGCTGATCAGAGACAGAGTCCTGAGAAGAATCCAGATGGCCTTAAAGAAAACACTTGTTGGGACCAGCAGGTGGCGTGGTGGTTAAGGTGCCGGACACTCCCGCATGGCCGACCATGGTTCGAGTCCTGAATCTGGTGGCTTGCTTTCTCACTTCCTCTCTCTCTCACTCTCACCCTCTGTCTCTGTCTGGTCAAATTAAAAAAAAAAATCAATGAATGAACAAATAAAATAAAATAAATAGTTATTTAAAAAGAAAGAAAGAAAGAAAGCGCTTGCTGCTCACAACCACAAAGTAATTATAAGGAGACAATCAAATGCTGTAAGGGACATGGGTCTACAGGTCCTACTGTCACCATAGAACACAACATGTCTGGGTGCTAGCCACACAATCGTGTGGCTGATGTCCATACTGTCATATATTAAAACCAGATTTACCCTCCATCATAATATACTTCCTAAGACTATGGCCTTCATCGTCCTTCTTACCCTCTCTAGCCCTGCTAGGAGGTTAGGATAGACAGGGGCTCTTTGGGTTAAAAGGGCAAGAAAGAAGGAGAAGGAGAAGGAGAAGAAGAAAGAAAGAAGAAAGAAAAGAAAGGAAGGAAGGAAGGAAGGAAGGAAGGAAGGAAGGAAGGAAGGAAGGAAGGAAGAAAGGAAGAAAGGAAGAAAGGAAGAAAGGAAGAAAGGAAGAAAGGAAGAAAGGAAGAAAGGAAGAAAGGAAGAAAGGAAGAAAGGAAGAAAGGAAGAAAGGAAGAAAGGAAGAAAGGAAGAAAGGAAGAAAGGAAGAAAGGAAGAAAGGAAGAAAGGAAGAAAGGAAGAAAGGAAGAAAGGAAGAAAGGAAGAAAGGAAGAAAGGAAGAAAGGAAGAAAGGAAGAAAGGAAGAAAGGAAGAAAGGAAGAAAGGAAGAAAGGAAGAAAGGAAGAAAGGAAGAAAGGAAGAAAGGAAGAAAGGAAGAAAGGAAGAAAGGAAGAAAGGAAGAAAGGAAGAAAGGAAGAAAGGAAGAAAGGAAGAAAGGAAGAAAGGAAGAAAGGAAGAAAGGAAGAAAGGAAGAAAGGAAGAAAGGAAGAAAGGAAGAAAGGAAGAA